AATGTGTGTTTCCTGCAAACAAATAATATCATTATTATGTTGCTTTAAATAATGGAAAATTTTCTTTCTTTTTTGGGGAGAATTGAGACCATTAGCATTCCATGTCAGGAGCTTTACCATCTCCCTTGACCAAAAGCCTGGAGAAAACTGCTTGAAGGTCTGCCATTGAAGAATATACTGCAGAACTCTTAGGTCTTGCTCCTCCCACCGGCAATGAAGCAATTTCTTGAAGAGATTCTTTGTCTTCTCTCTTCTGTTGTTCCTTTTCCTTGCGTCTATGTGCTGCACGAGTCATTCTTTGATCTTTGATCTCTGTTTGTTGTAACCACTGCGACTGTAGCTTTCCAACAGCCATCACTCCTCCTCCTTCAGACTGCTGTTCCACCTCTTTGCCATCCAAAACTTTCTGCATCATGAATGATGGTGAGCCTGCTCCCAGGACCGAACTATAAAATTCTTTTGCTTTAGAAACTGTATTAAGTCTATAACGCGTCCCCGCATGGCTCACAACAATACCCATCGGAATTTCCCATCTAAATGGAATCAATCTTTTTTAAAGCTCATTAGCTAAAAAGGCAAACTCTTTTCTCTTTCTTAAAATTTTAGATGGGATCTCCTTTAAGATAACAACATCTTGGGCAGCAATCTGGAACCTTTTATTATAAAAGGCTTGTATAATTTCATTACGAAGAGATCTCTTTGCAAAGTAAATCACCACATCTCTTGGTAATTTTTTTTGTTTAGCAATCCAGGAGTTAACTCTGTAAATTTTTTCGATTTCTCTGAATATTTCCTCTTTCTCTCTATTCAAAATAACAGCAAAGTCATTTACAAGAATCTCAGTCAGATCTTGCTTATCATCTTTCAGGCCTCTGATTCTTAATGCATGTTCCATCTCATGGTACTGGGACATAAGAATATCCTCTTGTGACATTTACATCTTTCTCTCCATACCTTCAAACTTTTCTTCCAACATATCCGCCTTCTCTGCCACTTCTTCAACTCTAGAGTCTAATTTCTCAACCACAGAGGCAAGTCCTGTTAAGGCGTAACTATATCCTGCCTCAAAATAGTGTTATTCTGTTCTAAAAGATTCTTCATTTCTCCTCTGATTTGAATTTTGTTCTGATCTAAGAGCTCCTTCATTTCCCCTCTGATTTCAGTTTTGTTCTGATCTAAAAGCCCCTTCACTTCCTCTCTGATTTGAGATACAGCGTTTCCCATTATATCTTTCATATCTTGTACCGTTACTGCTGGCAGAGGTGGAGAAGGTGGTGGTGTAGCTTTAGGTTGTTGTACCGATGATAGATTATGTTTAATATGTTTGCATAATCCTGTATTTTGCTCTGGGAAGTCGGGGGGAGGGGGGGGATGGGTTGAAGTTTAAGTAGTTCAGATAAATTAGAAATAGTCTTATTATATATAATATTAATGTTTTAATTTTGAGAGAGGAACTGCTCGGGCATTTCCCCTGGACCGCATCAAGAGGGAGGAGAAGAAGGTGAGAAGTAAGTAGGAAGGTTGAGGTGAAGGAGGAGAGGGCGTGAGTGAAGAAAAAGATGGAAAGAAGTAAGTTGGTTTGAGTGGGATGCGGTTTGGGGGGAAATGGGCGGGCAAGACCGAATGTGGTGTGTATCAATTTGTTTTATTTTTTATCTGAAGTATTTGTAAGATTGTTATGTATTGTAAAGTTGAAAATAAAAATTTTTACAAAAAAAAGTCCAGTCCAGCACACCACTTCTTAAAAAGAAAAACAAGAAATCAAGAAGAAATCAGCATGTTTGCAGAAAAATCTACCTGATAAAGACAAAAAGGATAAGTACAAAAAATGGAAAGAGGGAGACATAACTAAAACAGAATATCAGCAGATGACCATAATACACAAAGATGAATTCAGGAAAGGAAAGGCTCAAAATGAAGAAAGACTTTCAAATTAAAATAAGCAAGAAAATGGTAAGAGAACACCTGTCTGATCTTGATGAATATAAATCGCCGGGACCTAATGGATTACAACCCAGAGTTCTGAAGAAGCTGGCAAACGTCATCTCGGAACTATTGTACCATATCTTTCAAAAATCCTGGAGCAACTGAGGATTGTAAAAAGCTGATGTGGTTCCCATCTTCAAAAAAGGGAAAAAATCAGACCCAGGAAACTACACAACAATCAGCCTAACATCAATACCTGGGAAGGCACTGAAAAAGATAATCGAAAAACAATCTGCGAACATCTAGAAACAAATAAAGTTATAACTAGAAGTCAGCACGGGTTTGTTAAAAACAGATAATGCGTAACCAATCTTATTTCATTCCTTAACAAAGTGACTAAATTAGTAGATTAGTGAAATGCTGTGCACATAGTATACTTAGACTTCAGTAAGGCATTTGATAAAGTAGACCACAACCTACTCCTTGGTAAGCTAGAAAAAGATGGAATAGACAACATCACCATCCTCAATGGCACTACACCCACATGGAGAGAAGCAAGCAATGGGGTACCACAAGGTTCCATCTTAGGCCCAATACTCTTTAATATCTTCATAACTTACTTAGATAAGGGAATAGAAGGAGAACTCATCAAATTTGCAGATGACACTAAGCTGGCAAGAATAGCCAACACTCAAGATATTAAGCTCAAGATCCAGATGGATCTTGACAGACTTGAACATTGATGTTCTGACCCAGCCTTCGCCAGTGCTACTCAACAGCTTATTTGTGAGAAAACCCCCTTTTTATTTTAACAAGGTGTTTATGTAATAAACTCCAGATAACCAGTCCTTAGGTGTTAAAACAAACAATAGCAGTCTCTGCTCCCACTTGGCTGTGGTAAGTACAAAGTCTCTGAATTCTCAGCAGGAAGGCTCACTTAGCAATTCAAACCAAGCACAAAGAAATCTGACATATCTGGATAATTGGTAAAGAGTCCTGGCAAACAGAGAAACAAGATACTGAAGCATGAACAGTAGTTGCCTGTGGCAACCGGCATCTCCCACACCTTTTTGTAGACCAGCCAGGACATGGCTTCTTAGAGTCTCTTACTTTTCCTGGAGAGCTGCCCCACTGCCCTCCGTTGTCCTGCATGCTTCTCCGTGCATCTGGAACAGGCCCTAGCTGTTTCTTCTCTTTGCTCAGTTCAGGCCCCCAACAGAGCTGTCTCTCTGCCTGAGTGTGAGAAGATGGGCCCAGCTCCGCATCTGGTTCTGAGTCTTCTTGCTCCTTAGAGCCTTCTGCAGACTCCCATGTGAACCCAGGCACCCCTTCCCTCTCACCCAATTCATCTGACTAGGCTGCCTGATCCTCTGGTAGTCGAGGAACCACAACAATTGCCCCCTACCTAACAAAATGAAATTCAACATAGAGAAAAATAAAGTCTTACAGTTAGGCAAGAAAAACCAAAAGTACACACACAGATTAGGTGAAACCTGGCATAATAGCAGTAACTGTGAGAGGGATCTTGGAGTCCTAGTAGACAATCAATTAAATATAAGCCAGCAGTATACAGCAGCAGCCAAAAAAGCCAATGCAATCATAAGTTGCATTAACAGAGGGACTGATTCAAGATCACATGAGGTACTAGTATTTCTGTATAAAGCCATAGCCGGGACACACCTAGAATACTGCATCCAGTTTTGGTCACCACATAATAAAAAAGATGTTGAGACTCTAGAAAGAGTATAGAGAAGACCAACACAGATGACTGGAGGCCTGGAGGCTAAAATATATGAAGAACAGTTGCAAGAATTGGGCATGGCTAATCCAGTGAAGAGAAGGACCAGAGGTGACATGATAGCAGTGTTCCAATATCTGAGGGGCTATCACAGAGAGGAGAGAGAGAACCTATTTTCCAAAGCAGCTGAAGGCCAGACAAGGAACAATGGATGGGAACTGATCAAGGAGAGATCTAACCTAGAAATAGGGAGAAATTTTCTGACAGTGAGAATAATTAACCAATGGTTTGATTATTCAGATTATTATTCAGTTTGCCTTCAGAAGTTGTGGGTCCTTCATCACTGGAGGTTTTCAAGAAGAGACTGGACAGCCACTTGTCAGAAATGATATAGGGTCTTCTGCTTGAGCAGGGAGTTGGACTAGATGACCTTACAAGGTCCCTTCCAATTATGTTATTCTAAGAACACATAATATTCTATTAGCACAGTTTTTCTAAATAGATAGCACCATTTTTTAGGAATATCGGTAGTCCTCAACTTACAACCGGTCACTTAATAACCATTCAAATTATGACAGGCCCAGAATGAATGCTCTCTGGGCAATTAAACAAAAAAAGTATGACCCATTAAGCACACATACTCCCACAACCACATGAATGCATTTTGGGTGCTGGCAACCAGCTCACCTTTATGACTAGTTGCAGCATCCCTGGTCATGTGATCATTATTCCAATTAAAAAAAACATGGCTTCGCACTTATAATCATAGTGTTTGTTTAATCTCAAAAAAAATTCCTAAAATCATGTCATGTAGGTGCCTTGACTTACAGCTATTTTGACATACAAACAGAAATCCAGTCCCAATTGTCATCATAAGTTAAGCACTACCTGTAGTTGACTCAGTTTATAAATTTTGTTGGTTTTGTTTTTTAATCAAGACTATCAGTGGCATGTTAAGATAAGAAACCAGCTGGGAACTTTATTTTAAAAAGTTGGGCAAATAATATTTACTGGTAAAACTGGCATTTTCCACATTGGATTAATATTCATTTTCATTTTTTAAAAAAAATCACTAATATATTATTATATTCTATATATTAGTCTTCTTATACCTCTAGAAATGTTGGATTACAATTTTAAGAATACCAAATCGATGTTCAAAGCATTATGGATGCTGTGCCAGTTGGTTAAAATAAATGCTAGGGAACCAAGCCAGGGAAAGCTGAAGTTAAAGATGTTGAGAGAAAGATCATGATCAAAATTAAATACGTAAATTAACTAAAAAGTAAACCATATTTCATGTGTCAGTTTATGTACATCCATACATTTTTAATACCTTTATCTTTGTTTTTTTCTTTTCCAAGGGAATCCAGTTTCTTTCTCAATGATTTCTTCCTCTTTTGTCCATCTAGAACATATAAGCAATAAACGTTAGCAAGTGCAGCAGTATTGTCTGCATGAGGTATCAAGTTTAATTTACCAAGGGCCAGGTAACAAATGAATACTTTTATCTATCTGAAATAATGGGTTGGATCCCTAGAAAAATATGTTTTTTGTATTTTTGCTTTTAACATTCTACAAATCTCATAGTAGGCTTATAAATAAACATGTCCACAAGCAATTCCATCAACAGACATATTGCCTTACAACCAGCCTACAAACCCCTCAGAATCCAAGTTAATTGCACAGCGAATTGGAGATAGCACCAACCCTCAAGCAACACACACAACCCTCTCTCCCTCCCCAGCAGTTCACCTTCCAATGACCCTGACCTGATGTAATCTCCCCATCACAAGACCCATCATCAGCCTCTCACTGAAGACTCACCCCTGACCCACTGATAATTCACACCCTCCAACAACCCTGACCTGAAATAACCTCCCCATCACAAGACTCTCTCTAATGACTCATCACAAGACCCTCATTTGACACACCCACACCTGAAGCCCTTATAAATAGAAGAGCACTGACACAGACATCCCCTAAATGCTGCCAAAGATGTTATCTAGCCTGGTAACGAAACGTTCGGAAACCAACCCACAAGCTCGGAGAACAAACCTTCACCCTCATCCTACACCTGAACTACAGATATCCACCACTATTGCATATCTATTTTTCTATGGGTGATTACGGTAATAAAGGGACTCTAAAATGTTTATTCATTGCAGGCAAGATGCATAGATTAGAAAAACTACAAAAATCAGAAAGGTTCAGATAAAAGAATTTCAGGTCCAAAAGAGCATTGTTATCTACTGCACAGTGTTTCCCACTGATGAATGATAAGCAACTAGACTCTTAACCTGAAATTTTAAAAATTAGTACAGATAATACAATCAGTACAGATTTTATCTGAGCCCATGCTATTATTAAGATCATGGATACTAAAAAAAAATTCTTCAGATACTGTACCCAGCTATAGCTTCATTTAGTATGGCCTCCGCTAATCTGATGCCTTATTTATTTACCAAAAAAACATCATAAGATTGAAGTTCACTCTAGTTTATAAATTTTTCAAACTATCCAAACAAATTGTTTGGAGAAAAATCCATCCCATAGAAAAATCAGAAATGGTTCCACAAGATCTGAGGGCTTGTAAATAAATCACAGCCAGATGAAAGCATTTAGCATCAAATAGGAAAGGTTACTTGCATGCTTTGGGGGAAAAATGAAAGAATAAAGCTGCAAAAATACATCTATCATTATATTATTGTCATTCACATTCAGTCTGATTAATATATGTAGTGCTGGAAATCTCTCCACTGGAATAGTCCTCTTGAATGTATACACTGTGTTTAGAGAAGCTCATGAATTATTTTGTTAAATAAAAATAAATTGTCCACTTGATTCTAAAAAAATTTAATTGATCACCGGTTCACTCCAGGACTCTGTGCTCAACTAATTAGCACTGTTTTGAAATGCTTTGTCCTGGTAACATCAAAGCTACACAAATAGGAGGCTGCAGGCCATGGGATTTCAGGTAGTCCTCAATTTATGACCACAGTTTGGACCTGAGTTTTGGCAAGAAGGTGACAAGCAATAGGGAGAAAGCAGAACTATTTAACTCGTTTTTTGCATCTGTCTTTACACAAAGGGGAAAAATAGACCAGCCTATCAAAATAGTGCCATAAAAAACAGAATAGAAACATAAGTTAAGATAGGCAAGAAAATGGTAAGTGAGCACCTGTCCAGCCTAGATGAGTTCAAATCACCAGGACCAGATGGATTACACCCCAAGGTTCTCAAGGAACTGGCAGATGTGATCTCAGAATCACTGAACTACATTTTTCAAAGATCCTGGAGCACTGGGGAACTACCAGAGGACTGGAAAGGAGCTGATGTAGTTCCTGTTGAGTCCTTCGCGGAAATGTAAGACACGAGAAGCAGTTGTAGTTCTCAGTTTTCTTTATTCTGCATTCAGCTTACAAGTAGATGGCTTCAGCAGTTCCCAAAACCTCTCAGCTTCTTATATAGACATTTCCCGGGTCAATGCGATACTTTTCCCGTGCCAGCACCCGCGCATGCGCACGGCGCTGGCGACAGCCTGTCTGGTCCCGGGCAGCTTTGCACCTGCCCGGGACCGCCTGCAAACGCCCTGAGCCGTTTGCAAGGCTTGGGACATAACACCCCTTTCCCCCGGGCTAAAACTACTACCAACATATAATCATTATTTTATACAGTGTTCTGCTTCTCAGTGCTCCTACCGTTACCTGGCTTTTGTTTAGCCAGCAATGTTATGTAATCCTCTAAGTATTTAGGAGACTTCCTTGCTCTCTGTGACCTTCTCAGCTCTGGGTTTCTGACAGGTGTTCCCTGACTGAGGGGTGACAAGAGCCTGTTCCCCTTATCATGCCTTGGTGCCTTCCAAGGACTTTGCCCCAATGCCTGGCCTGCTTGCTCGCCCACCGGGCTCGTCAGGCCAGGGCTTCTGTCACTTTGTGACCTGGTTGACCTGCCTAGCTGTAGGCCCTCGGGCCCCTTGAAGTGATAGCCACTGCTGGGCGTCTCTATAGAACCTCCTAGGTCCGTCCAAGACCTGTCAGGAGGCTGTCCATTCCCTAAGCCCCGTTCTGTGTCCGGGCTCGTGTGGGTCTCTGTACCTTCCCAAAACTCAGTTACTCCCTGATTTGGGCTAGAGGTGTTGCGGTCGGGACTTGGTTCCTCGACCAACTCCCTGTAAGTTTGACCCCCTGTAGGATTAGGGGTAAGGTCAGGCCAACTCTGGGGATTGTGTGCCAGCTCTCTTTCGGGGAATGATTTGTTGGGATGCTCCCGGGTATCCTCCGTGACTGGAGTGTTGTGTGATGTGTGTGGAAAGTGAGTATGCCCCTGGGGTGACTCCCTGGCTGGAGTAGGCGTGAGTGCCTGTTGTGTGGGTAAGCTCCATGAATTCCTTTTCGGAGCACTTGCGGAAGCTTGAAATGGACCGTCAGTGGCTCCATCAGTGGAGATGGGCAGCAACTCGTGCCCTTCCCTTTGCTCCAAAGGGTCCCCCTCCCCCCCTGGAAAAGACCCAGGAGTCTCATCTGAAAGGTCCCGCCTAGGGCGAAGTTGGTCGATGTGCCGACGCAGGACACGACCGTTGTCCAGGGCTACCTCGTAGGAGAGAGGACCTGTGACCTTGGAAATAGAAGCGGGGACCCATGTATGACCAGGCCCGTAATTGCGAGCCCAAACCCGGGGCACCCACAAGTAGTTGTCTAGGTGCCCTAGGATGTGAGGTAGATGAAGGCAGTCTGTCCGGATGCAACCGGTCAAGTTTAGTAGTAAGTTGACGCCCCCAACGAAGTTCAGCTGGGCTTCTCCCTGTAGAAGTGGATGGTGTGGTGCGATAAGAAAGGAGAAAGTCAGCCAACCTGTGATGCCAGTCCCCGTAGGTGAGTCTTTTCAATGCGTCCTTCGTGATGCGCACCATACGTTCAGCCATACCGTTGGTGGACGGGTGGAAGGGTGCAGACGTGGCATGACGAATCATGTTAGCCTGTAAGAAAGCTTGGAATTCGGAGGAAGTGAATTGAGGGCCGTTGTCAGACACAATGACATCTGGAAGCCCGTGTGCAGCAAAAATCCCCCTCAGTACCTGAATAGTCTTTGCAGTGGTGGTGGATGAGACAGGTACAACCTCAAGCCATTTTGAATGGCTGTCAACAAGGACCAAGAAGAACTGGCCCTGAAAGGGCCCAGCGTAGTCAATGTGCACCCTAGACCATGGGGACTGTGTTTCCTCCCATCTATGCACGGGAGCTTGGGGCATCTCTGGGCGAGATCGTTGGCACAGGTGGCATGCATGCACCTTAGCCTCAATATCTTTATCTAAACCAGGCCACCACAAGTGGCTGCGCGCAAGAGCCTTCATGCGAACAATGCCAGGATGACCCTCGTGGAGGGATTCTAAGACCCTAGTCCTCATTGAGGTGGGAATGACAACTCTGTTTCCCCAAAGCAGACAACCCTGAGAAAGAGGACAGCTCGTTCCTTTTGGACCAGAAACTCTGAAACTCAGGACTAGGGCAGTGCTCAGGCCAACCAGACAAAACCCAGGAACGGACACGTAAAAGTGTGTGATCTGTACCTGTTTCAGCGGCAACATCCCTGGCACTAAGAGGGAGCTCGGGCAAGGCTTGGATTGATAGAATGTTGACAGCTGGCGCAGGGTCAGCTTCTACTACTGGCAGAGGCAATCTACTGAGGCCATCAGCATGGCCCATTTCTTTCCCAGGCTTGTGGAGTAAAGAAAAATCATATGCAGACAAAAAATAGACCACCTAAGCATTCTGGGGGAAATGATCTGGGGAGTCTGCTTACGTGTGGTAAACAGTCCCAGCAGAGGCTTATGGTCAGTGAAGACCGTGAAATGCCTGCCATATAGAAAATCATGGAATTTTTTAATTCCAGCAACAACAGCCAGAGCCTCCCTGTCTATCTGAGAGTAGTTGCGCTCAGCAGAAGACAATGTTCTGGAGTAATATGCAACAGGAACCTGAGTTCCATCAGACCTGAGGTGACTCAGGACAGCTCCTACCCCGTAAGGGGACGCATCACAAGCGATGCACACAGGAAGGGACTCGTTGAAATGTGCAAGTACACTGTTAGAAGTGAGCAAGGCCTTGACTTTGTTAAAACAAGCCTCATGTGTTTGTGACCAGTGCCACACTGCTTGCTTGTCTAGTAGCCTGTGAAGAGGCTCAGCCACACTGGCTTTATGTGGAAGGAAGGAATTGTAGAAATTCAGGAGGCCCAGGAAGGCCTGAAGTTCGGCCTTAGACTTTGGCCTAGGTGCTTCTAAAATAGCAGTTAGTTTGGATTCAGCAGGGTGAATTCCAGCAGCGTCAATTTTGAACCCCAGAAATTCAGTAGAAGGCACCCCAATCTTGCATTTGTCTTTTTTGAGCTTGAGGCCTGTTTTCCTGA